CTTCACCATGGGCTTGAGCTCCAGTCACTGCCTCGGCTGAGGAAGCTACACCGGTTGATGGCTTCTTTTTATGATGATCCTCGGCGGATTTCTTCTTTGGTGCATCCTCCTCTGATGACTTCTTCCTTGCAGCATCTTCAGCAGATGTTCTTCCCTAAAATTAGGCGTTTATCCATTTTTGTCTTTTTTGTCGTTAGGCCTCACTCGGAGGTGAAGATGACGACCATTTGTTATGTTATTAAATCGGGACAATTTTTCTTTAAAGGCAGTTGGCACGATGGTTTCCTACTTAGCCTAAAATGCTAGTAGGGCGCTGTATAGTGGGGAAATGGCGAAAGAACGGAGTGAAACGGTCAAAATCCTGCGAAGAAAAAGCCTCCGTTCTCAGTGACTTGATCGATTTCGGACGAGTTTCCCGTACGCATCTTGCCAATCACCGCTACCGAAGGTACGGCTGCATATGTGTACCCATATATGCATGCAGCATCACCGCCGCTTCATACCAATCCCTTTGCTTCATAATTTGCTCAGCAAATGAATGAATACGAGCGTCAGAAACGGTCGTCCGTTTGTGGGCGGGCGGGCAAGGAAGGCGTTTGGGACGTAAAGTTGTTGCTCAATAGGGCGTTGTAGAGGTACCCCCCTTGGGAAAGGCTTCACGCAGCGCCTGTCCGAGGTCACGGAATTCTGTTAAGCCAGTTGTACAAATCCTACACCTGTATAACGATTTAGCGTGCCAACTGCCTTTAAGAGAAGGCCTTGTTTTGAAAAAAACATTTTCCTGCAGTGGATAGATGGAAACAAGCGCGTCTTTGCAGATGTCGATGGGCCACCGAAGAAGCAAAGATCAGAAAAAACCGAAATAAGTGCCCTCAATAAGGGCAAGCTGATATAGCGTTGCTCAGGACATCCAAACAGGCCTTGCGCGTGAAGCATTGACACATTCCGAATGAATGAATGAATGCCGCGCACATGACAGCACCTCTTAGTTGCCCCTACCACAACTTGGGAGTCATGGACTATGATTGGTGGGTAGAGACGACTAGATAAGCGCTGATAGGGGCCTTTCAGATACATAGGCAACAAAGCGGTATGAAAATCGAACGCAACGCTCCATGAGGCTGCGTTCATACTTTGCGGCAGCGTCGACCAGCGACCATCAGTGTCTCGAGAGACTGGGAAAGCATGGTTTTGTATCTAGCGCATACCAGCGTTCATCAGCGACGAGAGTAGGGAGTATGGGAAAGTGGAGACTAGCAGATTGCTGGTAGAGTATGGAGAACTGGAAAGGAGGAGAGAGCTGGGTTCGGGCGTAAAGTCGTAAAGTAACCGCACCATAATACTACTCAACACCGTACTCCTGGAAGATGATGGACGGTACTGGTTGCTAGTGGACGCTGGCGGACGCTAGGTCGATATCCATACTACCGTAGTGCCTCGACACGCTTATAGTCGCTGGCGGACGGTGTTGGTCGCGGATGGAGCTATTGGACGCTGAAAGAGGCTGATAGACGCTGCCGTTCGCTGGACCAGTACCTATACCTTCATCGCTGACGCTGATGAAGGCTCGAAATGCTGATGGTCGCTGGTAAACGCCTGTGGTCGCTGGTCGCGATGCCGCAAAGTATGAACGCAGATCAAAATCGGACTTTCGTGTGGCCGTATATTCAGTATAGGCAGTTTGCAGCAATCGTGAGCCTCATGTGCTTTTTCTTGCACTCCGGAGTTCCGGAGTGGCCCACTCTGTGCAGCTCTGAACATTTGCTACTTATACGGGGCAGAAAACCTCCCACTTAGCCGCAATATGTGTTTTCGAACAAACCTGTCCCAAAGAAAACTTTCAGTTACTACAGCACCTTCTTTTCGAGAATGATCACAACATTGTTCCTCATTCTATTCTATAGATTAACAAACTTACCCCTTGTGGAGCGGCGCCAAGGTTTTGCAGTTCACGCCTGCTGTAGTCCCTGTACCAGCTGAAGAAGGGCGGACTATTGAGTAACCAGACAGACGACGTTGAGAACCAGCATTATGATCACCACGACATTAAATCGTCTTTTGAGCTTTATTTTCCTCGCTGTAACTTCTTCGCTGTCTGCATCCTCGTCCTCAGTCCGCTCCGTTCTCCTCCTCATCACCGTCCTTCGACTTGCTTGCAATTCTAAACGATTGAGAAACTGTCATTAACGGACCTGAACTCTGGAACATCTCCAGACGTAGAAAGAAGATCACTCTAGCCCTACTAATACTTACCTAAGGGCCAAGGTGCATCACAGGTAATTGAACGCCACATCCCTTAGGCTGCGTTTATACTTTGAGTCACCGTCCCCAGCCACCACCAGCATACGCTAGCAATTAGGAATGTGTATAGATATCGATCTAGCAAATGCCAGCGTCCACCAGCATTTGGTATAGCAGCGTCAGGAGTATGCTGAAATAGGAGGGCAGCAGACAGCCGGATTAAGCATCGTGAAACTGCGCTGTGTGCAGCTGTACCGTACAACCACTAAAGCACAGAATCGTGATATACTGATGTGCAATGTAGTGTACCGTACAGTTTCATCACGCTACATAAAGCTTGCATAATTCTGCGCTTTAGCAGTTGTGCGGTGCGGTGGAATACGCAGTTCCACGACGCCTAATCCAGCTGTCTGCTGCCCTCCTTCTTCCACATGCTCTCCACTCCTGTATGCCTACCGTACTAGGGTACTCTAACGTTTGCAGATCTATTCCTATACTTCTTTGAAATGCGGTGTATGCTGGCGTACGCTGGCGCACAGTATGAACGCAACATGAGACCTCAATCTTGCACCATGGGACATGGCGTAGTGAAAAGAATTCATTGCGCCGAATAGCCCAATACGCATTATGAATAAGACTAACAGTGAGTACCCAAATTTGAAACAATATCTGGGATCCGGAAAACTGCCTAGTGAAGTTGTCGGTTATAAAAGGATGATGCCATAGCACTGAATTGACCCTTTCGCCATGTTTACAACCGTTCGAAGGATTTGATGATATTCAAATGCCAACATCGGCTTATAGAACGGCTACGAGGGGCGCATCACATTCTTCCTTAGTGCTTTCTCTTGCACGATGGGCTGGAAGAGTTATGCTTGACGGGCATATGGAAGACGGGTTGCGGTACACGCAAGTATCAATTTGGATTGCGGCCACTGACCCAGGTACAGGGGGGGGGGCAAAAAAAACTTTTTTCCTTCTTAGACTTTCGAGGCGCTATAAGTTACACTTTATTGAATTATTATTAGAAATTCTACCACCATATTAAAGCTATCGAAAGATTCTGCCACGCGACCTCAGTGGGTGTGTGAGTTCAGCGAGCTCGTTGATTTCTCCGCCACTGTTGACCACCCTATCTTCAGGTACTCAACGTCCTTCCATTACAAGTAGGCAAGAGTTTCTCCAACGCCCTTCGATTTCATGTGGTGGCACTCAATGCTGTAGCAGTACAAAGTTTCCAAGAAGGTACGGGTCGCCTGACCCACATTGCTGAGGAGGGATATTCTTCACGAGTTGCCCAATGTAACCGCCAGCGCTCACCTTTAGTCCGGGGCCCACGAAGAAAATATCGGTCTCTCCATTCCAGGTACGTCCGGTCCCCACCATCAACTGGCGCCTTGGCGACTGAGGTGAAGATGATGTCCTAGACCGTAGCGACGTTGATTTACGGGCTAGGAAGTTTCGCAGCTGTTCGGAGGTGACATGAATTCCGAAGGTCTTCTCCAGTCAGGTTGCGGCTGGAGATGACTTCATATTTTGGTGTACATGAAGGTGATGGGCGAGCGCCAGCTCCTGCTTATAGAGGAACATCTTGGGTATCTTCCGCCCTGGTACTCGTATCCACGTCCTCTGTCTGGGCTGCGAAAACTTTGCTGATATGTGACTCGGTCGAAATATGTCTTTTTTTTTTTGCCCCCTGTAGGTGACGGGCGGCGCATTTTTATTCCCTACGATCGGCTGGGCATATATTCTTTTCCCATTCGATACTGACATGTGAACATATACGCTGACATAAATTAACAAAATGCACCTGCCGTTGATAAAGTTTTCATTGGGATACGGTACGTACTCTATTCGTTCCCAACTGTGCGGTGCAATGATGAGGTAATTCCGTATTAATGGCCCGGGATCATTCTCCATCACAGATAGTGGAATAGGGGTTAGCATATGGACGACAAGGGTCTGAGTAACACGATTGTAAAGAATAAATCAGAAAAAAATGCCAGCCGCTCCAGATAGACATTCCGATACCTGTTTATGACTCGAGCTGCAACGTTACGCCCTCATCCGCGCAGCTTAACCCCTATAAGAAGAAGGGTACAACGTACAAGCAACGAGATTCATGTTTTCTCGTACTGCTAATTCCTCTCCCACTGAAAGGCGGGTCTTGAAGGCTTAGTCTAGAATTGGAGTCACTGGAGAAAAGGAGGCGTCACTGAACCTATATTGCGCTCTAACCCTCCACCCTTACAATTTTTTTATGCGAAAACGGTACAGAGTTTGTTTGTCGCGGACCGCACTACCCTCCCTACACCATATTTTCAACTTCTGCACCTATCGCGAACCGTATCGTTATTAAAAGTAAAAAAGTTGAGTATTTTTGGCTCATGTATGATGGTTTATTTTATTCTTAAGGTAGTAGATTTAGCAATCTTTAGTTTACATTGTGCTGGGTCAAGATCTATTTTAGGGGGTAAAGTCTAAGTCTTTAAAAAACATTTGATTAAACTTTTAATTTTTTTATGGAGTCCAGCTGGAGTCCAAGTCAGTGGTTCTAACCCCCGGAGCATATCTGGTATCGACCAGTGGGCTCTGAAGGTATGGAAGGTTTGGCTGGGTGAGCGTACAGTTTGTCATCAACGCGGAAAAGCTCTTGCGTATGCGAGTTTTGACGTTGCAACAAGCACAATTTCAACCAAACAAAAGTTTGAGTCAAGAGTCTGATCTGCACTGATTAGGATACTAATAGAAGATCTCACCTTCTGAGAAACTCAACAGTTTTGTTTCAAGTTTTCTAAAGGCTAGGCTGAATTCGCCCATTGCTGGTTTTGTTCAGAGTTTCGGTCCAGGTGTTAGAAGACGACCGCTACTCCTCAGTGCCCACATATTCGCCCAGAAACCTCGGAGAATTTTTAGTGGACCTCTTCAGTGGACCACGAGCATGAGTTCCACTGAAACTCACAATGACAATAGTGTGATGAACCTACGAAGCAACTCTCTGAGCCAGCTGATGCATTGCTTTTTCACCTTGGGGAAGTCACTAGTCCCAAACTATGTTATGGGCTTATTCATCTACTCCGTATTGATGGGTCATGACTTTCCAAGCAGCATAGCCCGCGCACGGCAAGGCACAAAAGCACAATTCCAATGGGTCGGCGACCATACCGTAACTAACAAACATGACAAACCTATTGCGAACTTTTTCTTCAAAAAGGTTCCAGTCTGCTTCCACTTTGGCATCACCAGGTGTAAGGATTTCGGGAAGCACATGTTCTGTAAACATTTATTTATTCATTTGCAGATAAACTTGCTTTCCTCTTACTCCGAACTGATCTTATAAGATGTTAAGTGATCAAGCTTGTCGTTGAGCTTTCTGCACGACTTCTTCTCACGGTCTGTCCTTAACTCCACTGCGCAGTTCTGCAAGCGCAACTGTCAGTCGAACTGGAATGTTTAAAGGAGCCGTCTTCGCAGACCTCAGGGGTCTCACCGCGCAGTTGTGTCTTCGCTGACTACCAGCTTCACAGTTTTGGGCCCACGAGCAGTTTTGGGCTGACCTTACGAATTGGAGTCCGCCGTCTTCCGTCTGTACATCGTCTCACCTTCTACCCACGAGCCTGAGGCTCGTCCTTGCCCAAGCCTGGCCCTCGTCCCTCGTCTTGCGCAGTTGCCACCCTGGGGCAACTCCTATCATGCGCACCTTCCCACGTCCTACTTTCGAGGATCGTCGCAAATGGACCCGCAAGGAATGGGATCGCAGGCAACTGGAGAGCCTCCATGGCCCCTACTAACGCAGGCGGCTGGCACGTAGGTTTAGGTTTTATTAGGTGTTTTTTATTGTGATTTGTTGCATAAATTAACCTTTCCGATTTCTCTCGTTTTTCTTCTACTTTCACATGTTTAACGCATATTCTATTTTGACTGATGTTTGTGTAGTAGCTTTGTGACAGGTTCTAAGCGTCTAGTTA